TGTACACAACTCATATTGCAAAGAGATCAAGAGATAATATCCTTGCAATCCAAGGAGACTGGAGTATGATATCACATTGGTTCCGAACCAGTATAAAATTCCTGATGTCATTTACGTTACTGCTTTCATATTTTATTATAAGCAATTACTGTTTGTTGAGATTAGTATTTGTTTGAATCGAAGTACTAACAATATTGTGCAGGTTGTCTCCGCATCGGTCGACTAAGTGTATACCGTAGTCAGACTAAATTTTTAACAGGCATACAATTCACCCGCCCTCTTGTACTTTCAGTATCCATTTTTAACCAGTAACAGAACGAGTTGAAAAGGGGTTTTAAATTTGTGATGGTTTCAGGCTTCAGCTGATCCAAACAATATTTTCAATGTACACTTTGAACTTCTAAACATTCTAGGAGTGCTCATCCTCAGTGGGGAGCCGCAGGCTACGGTTCAGTCCAACTCAGTAACTTTGATTCAATCCATATATTTGTCTTTAAGTAATTCATTGAATATGTGCAAATTATTAAGTTAGAACCTAATAACTTAAAAGAACTGGAATCCTGAACTGATCAAATCCTCCGCCTCTGCTTATCTCAAAGTCTCAATCAACTTTTGTAAAATATGATTAGTATATTGACTGTGTAGCTAGTTGGCCTACATTATTCATCGATCGACTGACTTTGTCCTAATGTTACAGATTTCAAAAGATTAGATGATCTGAACTTGTCTTTATACAAGAAGATTAGCAAGGTGGTATATAAATAAATGTAGGACTAAGTAGGATAAGAAGCTTAACCACAGTTTAATTATTGTCTCAATTTAATTCTAACTTCTTAATATTCTGCAAAAAATAAAAGAAAGTATAACAAGATATTATGATTAAATAGTGATAAATACAATGATCTATAAATTGAGTAGAAAATAATTTATTTCAACTCTTAGTGGGAAATCCAATTTTATTACTAACTGAAAGGTCTTTCTTGCTGAAACTTTACCTCAGTTGTGGTAATTTTGAAGAAGTTACAAAGCTGCATTTTTCAGTAGTTCATCTATGAGTTTGCCAAGGGACAAGTAAGACGATCCACCTTCGATTACGCTAGTCCTGCTCTTCTCCTTCATCTCCTTTGCCTTTTCTCTTACTGCTGTATTAATTTCCACCAATTCCTTAATCCCTTTTTCTATGGCTTCTGCAGTTATCATTGGCTGATCTTTAGTCCTTTCGCAGTAATCCAAAGTGATTGCCACTGCAACTCCTACTTCTTTAACTAACTGAAACGCATTCACTTGTTGCTCAGAATGCAATGGCCATGTTGCTATAGGCACCCCACACCATATACTTTCAAGTATCGAATTCCAGCCACAATGTGACACAAATCCCCCTATTGCCTCGTGGGACAAAACCTTCAGTTGCGGGACCCATCCTACAACTTTCCCTTTTATCTCTGTCCGATCAAGAAATCCTTCTGGCAAGATTTCAGAATAGTTCGTGTATTCTCCGGGGAATTGCGCGTTATTGCTTTGTGGGGGACGACGTAAAGACCACAAGAATCTGCAGCCACAGTTATCCAAAGCTAAAGCGATCTGTTTCACTTGGTCCAGTGGTAAGCTCCCCTGGCTCCCAAAACAGATTAGTACCACTGATTTTGGTGGCTGTTGATCAAGCCAATTTGTAATTTCTGCCTCCTCTGACTCCGACTTGGATTTTGACTGGTTCAAAATTGGACCAATTGGATAAATAGGTGGAAGTGGAACCTGATCCTGTTCAGATCTTGATATGTTACTGTTGTTTTTCTTATATGTATCTAATTGATGGATTTCTAATTCAGCAAAAGTGTTGATAATAATGCCTTTGGCTTTTCTATATCCACGAGCAAAATCGAGGAATCTCCCTAGCCACGTGTCTCTATCGACTAGGACCATCGGCAATACCTTTGGAGGAACAGGATATGCGTAACTGGGAAATGATAAGAGATTACTACCATCAGTGTTCTTGAATAACGAAACATCTTGTTGGCACTCGTCTTCAAGAAACTGGAAATGAAGCATCAGTCCGAGAAAAGCAGCTGGGGAAGTGAAAAACACGTAGCTTGGGATATTAAACTCGTCAGCGACATCCATTAACGGAGTGCATAACATGTCAACAACAAAACCAGCTAGTTTTTTAGCAGGGCGTTGAGATATTAAGAAATCCTTGATGTGAGATTTCTGGCTTTGCACTAATCTGTAGACGAAATGTCCTCGAGTTTTGGAACTCCATTCTGGTGTTGGATCAGCAACTGGTAACTGGACAAATCGAAGGCGATCAGAGGAGGATGAAGCAGCTACAGAGTCAACGAAAGGGCCACTGACGGCGTCAATGTAATCGGGAAGTTTCATAACGAGGACAGTGATTGTAAGATGATGATTTTGATGGAAAAAGAGTTTAGCTAACTCCAGCATCTGAGCTACATGGCCCATTGCCGGAGATGGGATAAGAATTAGTTCTGCTAGTTTCTCCATATAAACTGCAGGTGATGGTTTTGGTTTTCGCTTCTGCTTTTTTTCTTCTTTTTGCTCTTCTTCGCTCTTACTTTTGTAGATTTGTCATTGGTTTTCGCGGATGCTGTCTTTGTTTATGCTTCCCAATTAGATTGAACATACTGTGCACGAATCAGTGCGTTGCCCCCAATTAAAACAGCAAAATTTTGTAAAGTATTCCTGAAAGATCTGCAATTAGGACACGCGACAAAAAATCAATCGCTTTAATCAACCTTTATTCCAACAAAAGGATAGCTTTATTGTAAAGTCTTCTATTTTTATATAAAGTTTTCTTTCTTTAAAAAATAATTAAGTTTCATATACGAATGGTATCAAGGTATTAATATAAGTAATTAGATTGATTTTAATAATTACCTACTTGTATTTAGCGTAGATATTTATTCGTAATTATTTTACAATAGATGTAATTGTACAAGTATATACATAATTGATGGTAGGTTAGAAATATGTATTTTAGTTGTATTTTGCACTCTAATTACTACATGTTATTCGTGTTTGAGCTTAAACGATGGTGATTTGCACGAGTTAAAAAGATAATTTAAACCTAAAGCAAATAATTTGAATTTTTGAAGTCTGAGTAAAAGCCTAAGGAATTAAATCGGGATCGCATTCGAGGGTCGAGGACCATATTACTCTAACATTTGTATACTACACGCCGCGTGGGGCACAGCGCGACAGTGTTAAGTGGAATGTCTGACAGAAATATGGTCTCTGAACTTCTCCATTGGCACGCCGCATGGGGCGCTGCTCCCTGTGCAGTTTTGTGAGAGTAATTTTTCACTTCGTCATGAAAAGAGCAGTTCCGTTCACACCCGCTTCTACATGGTATAAATACACAAAAAATATGATTTGAGAGGACTTTTGACCTAGGATTTGAGGAGCAACTAAGGCAAGAAGACGCAAGAATTCATCAAGATTTCAACCAACAATCGGTGCAATATGGGAGTTTGTATCGGATTATTAAAGTTGATGTTTTCTATGTCTTTAAACCTTCTTGAGATGACTTTTTCCATTGCTATGGATAGTTTTCCCTTGGGTGTTGACAGACATGGTGTATTGATAATTTGATTAGAGATTCGATTCTTGATAATTGCTTGACTCAATTGATGGAGTTTTGAATTATATTATGAAGTTATTCATTATTTTGCTTAATTGAAAGGGGAGTTTTATATTGAATTTGTTTACATCTTATGCTCTAGTTTAAATTTGTAATTTAATTGGGTAATTGAAGGAGCCTCTTGAATTATTAATCGAACTAGAAAATAGGAAAATATTCGCAAGAAGTTGCCCTTCAAACTAAAACTATCATTATATTCATTGCAATTGTTCACTGTGCTTCAATTGGATTATTTCCAGAAATTAACGGTTAATGAAAAGAGGAACCTTAACTTCAAGTATAATTTAATTATCTGGTGAATTCGTGAAAATCAACACTATTATAGGGTGAACTAATTCAAGAATTGGATCTCGAGTCAATTATCATAAACTTGTCTAGTCAATTATCCTTATTTCTCCCAGTGATATTTCTGTGTTGCTCAACTCTTGTTTTTCATGATCAATTGATAGTTGCTTTAATTTTAGTTGTTAACTGTAGTTGACAATCATTACAATCAAGTGTTAGTGTTCATGAATAGCAGTTAACTAGACATTATTCGAATACTGCTAAAATTCAATCATTGTGGAAACGATTATTGAATTATACTATCTTTGATTAGAGAGCATTAATTTTGTGTTGTGTTTTGCACTCGTCATTAATCGATGTGTAATTTAACCTACTTTACTAGGTAACTTGCCGTCTCTTTTTTGAGTTAGTAATTCATACTTAATATTGAAACTATTGCCAACCATCGTTTAAAATACATGCAACAAATTGCAAGTAATAACCAATATATAAGGTTTGGTGTGACAATTTGTTCAATTAGTTGACTTCGTCAACAAAGCGTTAGTAGAAAGGGAGATAGTAAATGATGAGTGCAACAACATTTACTTTGTTGCAATCTTTCAATAGTCTATTTGACCAATTTACAAAATAAATTACGTGAAGATTAAGATTCACTTAGAGTTTCAGAAACTAAATGATTTACCAATTGTACATTCTACTCTCACTTTCATTACCTTAAACTGAATATTGCAAGTGAAAGTTTTTAATAAGAAAAAAATAATAAGAAGAAAGTGAAAGTTTAATTTGCCAATGGAAAAAACACGAATTCTAAAATCCATGTCATTAAAAGATTGACACTTAAGAATGAGCGATACATAGAGGACTCAGCGAATACATATGATGCTATCTCTAGTTATGCATTTAGAAATTATGATTGTGAAATTAGAGATAGTTATGCATATTTTCATTGGAAACAGTCTCTCTATCTCTGTAAGATAGGGATAACGTCTGCGTACACACGAACCTATTTATTACTGTTGTTGTTGTTGTTGTTGAAAGTTGCAGAAAATAATTAAAATTTTCAAGTGGGTGAATGATCCTTGATATCTTGGATCAAACTCTCAAGAAAAAAGTAAGATGATCCTCCTTCTAACATGGCTCTCCTGCTATTTTCTTTCATCTCCTTAATTTTCTTTCTGGTACCATTCTTTTCATTTGTACTATCCAACATCAGTCGCTTTATGGCGCGCTCTATCTCCGCTGCTGTGACCAAAACTGGACTCTCACTCCGATACTCCATCTTAATATCCACGGCCATCTCCAAATCAACCACCAGCTCGAAAGCATTCACTTGTTGCTCTGCATACATCGGCCATGTTGCCATTGGTACTCCAAACCACAAGCTTTCCAGTACAGAATTCCAGCCGCAGTGCGTAATGAATCCTCCAATTGACCTGTGAGACAGCACTGCCACTTGAGGGACCCATCCTATCACTCTCCCTCGCTGCATAGTTCGTTTCAAGAAACCTTTCGGCAGCACTTGCTCCGGACGTGCAAGATCGTCCGGAGCACCTACTTTGCCCTTGACCTGCGGCTGCCGCAGGGACCACAAGAAACGGGAGCCGCTATGGTCAAGGGCTATAGCGATTTCTTTCAACTGTTCCTCGTCAAAGCTCCCATAGCTCCCGAAACAGAGGAACAATACCGAAGAATCTGGTTGCTCATCTAACCAGTTGTTGATACTCTCGTCCGGTTCTTGATTCAGGTTGATTATAGGCCCAACTGGGTATAAAGACGGAACCCCATTTTCATTACCCAGAGATTTAATTGGATGAGGCTCAAGCTCTAAGAAAGTATTAACTATGATTCCTTTTGCCTGTCGTATCATTCGAGCAGTAGACAGAGGTAGATGCAAACGACCATCTTTATCCAACATGGCACTTGGCAAAACCTTTGCTGGCAAAGGATTTATATAAGTCGAAACAGGCAGTAACGTATCCGAATCCTTGAAATCGGAGATATCGCGATCGCGATCATCTTTAAGCGTCTGTGCATAAAACATGAGGCCGAGAAAAGCAGCACTAGAAGTAAAGAATACATAGCTCGGTAGACAAAGCTCAGTTGCTACTTCTATCATTTTATCACTAAACATGTCAACAATCACACCACCGAGTCGAGTACCGGACTTGTTCTTATTGGTCATAAAATTGTCAACAATTGCCTCTCTTACTAGTTGCTTGGAATTATCAAAGAGCTCAACAAGAATAGCTTCTTGAGGTTTATTACGATTATTACTTTGAGATTGAGGAGAAGACAGGTGCAAGAATCGTAGGCGTGAAGTGGTAGAGTCATCATTTATTGCTAGCGTCTTTGTATAAGTATGTATAGCTGTTTCAATTGGAAGGTCAATGATGAAGAAAGTAATTGAAAGACAATTGGTTCGACTGTTGAGTAACTTGCCAATTTCAACAGCGGCGACGAGGTGACCCATTCCTGGCCCTGGAATGAAAACCAGCTCTGTGCTCTCCATCTTTGGTATTGATCAACTGCTCTAGCACAACAATTGCAAATTAAAAAGACAAACGCAAAATAAAGAAGAGGCAAAGGCGCTGCTGTCGTGGATAAATCGGCAGCCAAGTATAGTCAACGAAAGCAGAGAACCCAAAAAAAAAAAAAGATCCACGTCATCGGAGCAACAACACAAATTTTAATGTGTGGCTGTGTGCAATGAATGTGAGTCATAATAATTAAAAAATTCATATAATTGGATCATTTTTAAAGTAATTGCAAATAAATATTTTTATAATTATTAAGTGGTAATGTAACGAGCACCTTACAGGAAATAGGCATGGTACAAGACCAATACATCCACCAAAATACCTTGAGCACTTCGTTGTCCATAAGACTGCCAAATCCATTAGAAAAAGGACAAGAGCATTGGATAAGGCTGGCATGTGGGCCCGGTCCCAACTTCAAAGGGCCTATGTGGGCCCGGGCTTTACATGCTTTTTGTTAGAATTGATCCGGAACCGGACCTACGAACTAATGGTTCCGGGTCTAATTGGGCCGGTCCCGGGCCTAAGTGGGTCCAACAGATACTTTTTATTTTTTTTTAAATTTTATAGAAGTTAGATAAAAAAAATGGTAAAGAGTTGGATTACCATAAAAAGCATTTATATATTCATGATTTAATTGTTCACCGGGTGCAATATTATGGCAAAATTGATTTTCGGTAAATTGTAATAAACTATTATCGCTATCAAGAATAGCAGGTGTAGGACATGTAACAGGTTTGGGTCGGGGAGCCGGGGGAAGTGGAGGAGGAACAAATTGGCTTCTAGATTCACCATTCTTGGATTTTTCCTTATTTTTACTAAACTTTTTTTTAGGAATAAGCCATCTTAATTAATCAAGCAATACAAAGTAAATAAAATAAATAAAACTATAATATTAAAACTTAAGAGTTGGAACGAGTTTACCGAATTGACGAACAACTTATTGAAAATTAATTATCATTGAAGACTTGAAGACTTCAATTCACCAACTTCACAATTTTTCACAAATTGTAACAATAAAATAAGCAATTATAGAAGAAAATTAGAGAGAGATTGAGAGGGATTGATGATTTTGTGAGAAAAATGAAAGAATGAGGGGGTATTTATAGTTGAAAATAGGGAAAAAGTGTAATTATAAAAGGTTTGGGGTTAAAACAAAGTTGGGAGTTAAATGACTATTTTGTAAATAAACAACGACTATTTTGGCAGAGAAAACGACTATATTTTAAATGCCCCAACGGGCAGATTTTTTTTAAAAATTAGAGCCGTTGGGACCGGTCCGGTCTCGCTGGCCTCGCGCAAAAGATCGGCCCACTTGCCAGACCTACCTCCCCCGGTCCCGGTCTTAAACGATTAGGATCGTTTAGGCCCACTACCCATATGGGCCACGGTCCTGGATCGGTCCCAATTCTGGATCTGCCCACTTGCCAGGGTTAAGGCAGAGGAAGGAAATACCTATAAGTAGGAAGAGAGGTCTAACATTAGGTAGCGGATTAAGACTTGTCTTTATATTTCTTTCTTATTAGCTATAGCTCTAGAACCTCCCTCCGTTCTCTTTTTTTTCTTTTAATTGTTCATACTTTGGTTAGTTGAGGTTGTAATTTTTCTTGGAGCTTGTACTCAAATCTGTGAATTAATACAAGATCATACCAATTTGGTGCTCTCGTTGAACCTTTCCTCCAAATGGGTGACCCGCCGATGACACGCCTGAAATCACTGGACGATGCCGTTACCCAAGTTAAGGACCAGCTTGCTATTCATTCAAAAAACTTTGATACCATCTCTGCTAGCCTCTCCGATATTCAGAGTCAGCTACATATTCTAAACTCTGGTAAACAACCACAACCTTATTCTAAACTCTGGTAAACAACCATAGCCAGATTCCACAAACTTGAAAAGTCCTAGCCTCGGCATCGCTGCCGGCACTTCTTCCGCCGTGGCTTCACCACCTACTTCTATTGCTCTAACCACTACTCCACCGCCACTCGACAACCAGCCTCCACTTTAGTACCAACAATACAATCAACACTACCAACACCACCCATCAACTCTACAACACTGCCATAACTCTGCAGCGGCTCCACCGCTGAATACTCAACAACAACAATATCATCCACAATACCAACAACCCACTCCTTACAACCAACCACCAACCTCTCTCACCTACGCAACCCTATTTCTAACCGCCTCCGCATATCCCCCACCCCCTTACCCACCTACCCATACCATGGCCCAACCGGTAACCTAATAAAATGATAACTTATTTGCTATCACAAGTTAAATTATATACAAATTATATAAAAAAGTTACATTGGCAATACACATAACTTAATTTTTTTCTCAAAATCGTAAGCTTTTCTTGAAATTCTATTACAAAAAAAATCGAAAAAAGAACATAATAAAGTAAAATGACATTATGTTCTCTGATTTAAAATCTATTTCTACTACCAAACAAATTACACGCTTCAACGGAAAATGTGCAGAGAACATATCAAGGAAAGCAGATAATACGTAGCTTAGACAAATAAAATAGACCAGATGTAGTTATAAGTATACATAAAGTTTCCAATGTGATTAATGAACCAGGAGCTTCATTTTTTTTTTTTAATAAACAATATGAACTTTGAGCTAGGACCCGCTAAATTACTAACTAAAGACAGTACAATTTGGCAAATGATGCTTCTAAAGCCAGTCTTTCATTTATCCCAAGACAAGAGATTAAAGATTCTAGTTCAGAGAAATGTTGATTTTTACAGAAATAGCAAATTAATGCTGTGAGGCCTTAACTCTTAGGAACCACCTATTAATGGACAAATACACTCGTACTCTAGGTTGCCCGAATTCTTCAAAAATATTACTAGTATGTGACGAATCCATCAAAATAGTATATTTTTGGGGGATCCGATACGAGTACAACAACATTTTTGGAGAATTCAAACAGTACAGCTCATACCTTAGCAACAACTCTTATTTGATTAACATAAATGAAGTTTCATTCTAGTCACTCCTCGAAAGTAGCATAAGATTCTGCTATCTTAACAGAATATAGAATCTAAAATTCTTCTCATCTCAATTCTAGGAATCAAGGATAGTTTCGACGAATCTTCCTATAGAAATGAAGGAAGATCCACCCTCCATCAATGCGTTCCTGCAAATCGCTCCCAAATCTTTAACTCGCTTCCTCACGGGATTTTCACTGTCCATTATGCATCTTATAGCTTTCTCCATCTCCTCTGCCTTCACAGTTTCACCATGATCACTACCGCGCATCCTGTAATCCATTCTCAGCTCCACTGCCATCTCAAGATCTCTCACCAATTGAAACGCATTGATTTGTTGCTCAGCGTAAAGGGGCCATGTCACAATTGGAACTCCGTGCCATAGGCTTTCTATAGTCGAATTCCATCCACAATGAGACACGAACGCTCCAGTAGCTTCGTGAGCCAAGATATCGACTTGGGGTGCCCAACCACATACTATTCCTTTCTTTTTAGTCCTCTCCAAAAATCCCTCTGGCAAAATCTCCTCAAGTTTTGCATATTCATCATCTACAGGCCGACGTATTGACCATAAGAAACTTACTCCACTTTGTTCAAGTGCAATTGCCATTTCGATTAGTTGTGGTGGCTCAAAAATCCCCGAGCTTCCAAAGCAAAGAAAAATAACAGACGAAGGTGGCTGCTGGTCTAGCCATTTCATGATTTCTTCATATTCAGAGTTGGAATTTCCCTTACTCTTTTGGCCCTCAAGGTCAAGAAGAAATCCAACAGTGTAAAATGGAGGCAATTCAGGGTCAGATGCTAAGGCATGTACAGCATGATTTTCGAATTCAGCAACTGTATTGATAAGAATTCCTTTAGTTTCTTTAAACCTAACACCATGTTCGCGGAAAGAGTTGTAACCTTCTTTATTGAACGCGAATGAAGGCAAGACTTTTGAGGGTACAGGATTATCATAGGCTGATATCTTTAAATCAGCATCAGATTTATTAAATTCTCTCCCGAATTTTTCATGCCAAACGGATAGGTAAAACAAGAAACCAAGAAAACCTGCACCAGAAGTGAAGAAAAGATAGGAAGGAATTCCAAGTTCATTTGCTACATCAATCATTGAACTGCAAAACATATCAATGACTAGTCCAATGATTTTCGGGTTCGAATCAGGCCATTTGTTGCTGATAATTGCATCTTTGACGAGGGGTCGATAACTTGCTATTAAAAGAGAGAAGTAATTCTCTAACGACTTTTCTAGCTCTTCTGAAGATGGAGGTTCGACTTGAGGAAGTGTGATATATCTAATTCTACTGCCCTCGGGAGTAGAGGAGGATCGCTTGATGTAGGAATCTATACCTGCATCCCATGGTGCAGGTGGCCTTATGATGAAAATTGTTATGCATAACCTTTGATCTCTGTTGAGTAAATTCTCTGCAAATTTACATGTTGAAACAAGATGACCAACGGCCGGAGCAGGTACAAACACCAGCTCTAATTTGCTCATCTTTGAAACAAAGTTAATCAGAAGAATGAAGATGAAATGGTGGTGAATAAGAATGGTACCTTACAATATATGTTGGATGTGTCAAATTAAGTTTCTGTTTGTAGGATTCTGCCCTTTTTCATTAAATGTTGAAAGTTTGGACTAGTTTACTTGAACCAAGTTATAAATAAGATATTAGGTAAGATCATAATTTGATTATAGGTGGGATAACTAAATACCATATTTTGATTATGTGTGGTATAAGTAAGGCCTATAAGCTATTGGCCTACGATGATAGTAGCGGAGTTTGGATTTTTATTAAGGGGTATTAAAATTTAAAGAAGTAAATACATGAATAAATTAAAGGAGTTCAATACATAAGTATATATACATAAAATAATAGTTTTTACCTATAGAAATAGGAAATTCTTTTGGCAAAATAGATATTAATTTTGACACCCCTTGAAGCTATGTGGATCCGTCACTAATGATGGGTAGACGTTATTTATAATTAGCTCTAGTAAATACGATATCCTTGAGTATGTGGTGAAGAGATTATTGACGACTCATTTTCCATAATTTTCTTGGTATTGAGAGAATAATATGGTAACTAGTGATTGTAAAAGTTGGTCTCAAACTTAACTGCTACGCTACTGAATAATGAAGTTTAACGATATAGATAAAGACGATGAAATAAGATTGATAATAACCATGGTGGATATGTCAAAGTTTTGTGGTTTTGGTCGTCTCTTTCTTGGTAATTCATTTTCTTTTTCCTTGTGGAGATTAAAAGATGCGATGGAGGAGAATGAGTATGCTTCTAATGCAAACAACACACAATATGATGTCTGGTCCTGACATGCTAATATGTCTATAGTGAAGTCACTGCTTACATAAGGAGGTAGAAACGTGATTGAAAACTTTTTGCTCTTCTTCTCTTTACCGACAAGACAAAATAATTAAAATTTAAAATATTTAAAAAGACATATAAAAAATTGTAAAAATATTATTGTAACTCTTGAAATCTGAAAACACTGGAGTACATAAAATGGGGACGAAGGGAGTAAGACATAACTAACACTAGATTCTTGATGTAAAGGTAAAAGAGACACTAATCACTTTCCCCACCCACTTTGCTGGCTCAGAGTCATTTTCGCGTAAAAAATGTCACTATGCAAGATCTTGATTTCTCAATCTGAATTTACTGTATCTAACTCAGCTCCAAGCTCATCCCATGGAGTAATTAAGCTTGGGCAGCAATGGCAACAGAAGTGGTCGAACAGAGATAGTGAAGCAGTTAGAATGTTCGAGAAGATGAGGGAAATAATTTTCTTATCTTGTAAAGAGCTTATAGTGTATACTTATATGCAACACTAACTTAGCTAACTGATCTAACCTCCAACTGTCTACCAAATGTTATATGCACAGCCTAATTAACTAACTGTTTACCCTCAAAATCGGATAATAATTAAATTTATACACGGTTTTAAGGATACGCGATTCAATTTGATACAAAGTGAGGAATCCGATTAATGTGGAAGTAAACAATAGAAATATAAATGCAAACCACGTAAGTTGAACAACCTAAGCCTCGTGAGGTTTAGCTCCTTCAAACTAGATGTAATATTATTGAAGCCGAAATAAAATGAACAAAGCTAGAAATAACAGTATATTGCTCTTTGATGTATGTTACCATCCCCCTCTATGAATTACTAAGTCCCCTTTATATATTTAGGGAGATCTACCTTTTTAGACATTAATTTATAAGAAACATAAGTCCTTGATTTTGAAGACCGTTGGCTCCTTTTTTGACTAATTCCGTAATTTCTGCCATAATGATTGGTTTAATGGCGAGAATTACGGATCCTTGTCGGATGAGTTGGCAAAGCTTTTCTTCGAGGCCGTTAGAAGCAGGACCGACCGTGCCTTCGATAAAATCGAGGGCAAACCTGATGGTCTCGATGGCTAGTTTTGACGATGCTTTCGAGTCCGACGATATCATATTCCGATCTTGGCTGACCATGCTGGACATTAGATCAAACTTCGAACTTCGATATCGAGCTCGGTTGTACCCGTAACTTGTATTTCTACCCAATTACAGATGTGCCGACCTTGGCCTACCATTTCAGATGCTCGATTGAGCATCGAGCTCGGTTTTACCTGTATACAGATAGTCCCCTCGTTTTTTGGAGAGTAGGCGACGAAAAACGATATGAGCCCTCGGTTCTCAATTCGATCAATCATGATGTAAGAGACAAAAGGTAACTGAAATGTCCAATCGGTCCAGTCTTCAAGGTATTAGATGTGTGTCAGTTAACAGTTGGCCACTTCGGGATGTGAACCGCTGCTTGAGAAAACTATAAATATCCTTCAACCTATTTATTAGAACTTTTACATTCAAACTCTTCACATGTTTTAGGAAAGCTTCATCACCTTCATCTTTTGGTTTTCTAATTGTTGACCTCAAAACTTCTTCTCTTCTAGTTCTTTGAAGATTTATATAAGTTATCTGCTAAGCTCGCTTCTTCCGTTACCAACATTTTCTTTTCTCCACTGTTTATAAAAAATGGCAAAGACTTCAAAGTTCGTTCCTAAAAAAGAAATACCTTCTTCTTCGAAACCATCTGAAAACATTTCACATGCTGCTACTGAGGAACCCCCTCTGAAGTCGTATGTCCCTGCGGGGTGCCCAACCGAGACCGACTTCAAGTTAGAGAATACGCCTATGGAACCGGGTCGGTGCGAGCCGGTCTCGAGGTATATATATATATATATGATTACTACCAGTATCCTCGATAAAGTTAAAGAGGACTGCAACTGGGGAGATAAACTCTTAGTGGTCCCTACCTCAGAGGAATCGATCACCACCCACGTGGAGGGTTTTTTAAGTGTTTACACTTACCCTTTCACGCTGGGTCCTTTAGACCCGGTTATCATAGCCCTTTGCAAAAGGTATGAGGTAACGCTCGGGCAGATACATCCTTCATTTTGGAGGATCGTTATTCAGCTTCGATTTTTCGTGAGCAAGGTCGAGAGGTGTCTATTTACCATCGACCACCTCATGCACCTGTATAGCCCTCGACTTCACCAAGGGGGATTAATCAAGCTTGCACGCCGAGCCACTAAGGCCTTGTTCTCGAGTATCGACGAGGATCAGGACTGGGGCTGGTTGGGTCGTTTCGTTCGAATGAGGACCTCGGACTTAATCACAGCTGCGGACATGCCATTTCCTGAGAAATGGAACATGAAACGTAAGTATAATTTTTCCTCCAATATTTCTTTTATTGCTTTTCTTTTCCTTCATTTCTCATTGATGTTATGTGATGATGCAGTTGTTGCCCAGATGTTGGACGCTGTTCCTCGACTTAAAGGGTGGGTCGAGGGCATTGCGACACAGAAACCTTACTCCGAGTGCTTATGGCGTGAGCTCTCAAAGGGTCGATGGGAGGCCCGCAATCGTGGTGAGAATGTTTTCCCTAACAACATATTTGATCTTAATTTCACATCATCGGTCTATGAATCGTTTTAATTTCTTTTTGCAGGTTTACCAAAAGATGTCAAAATGAGGCCTCCATCAGCTGATGACGACATATACGTTGATCCCCCTGCTCCGAAGAAGGATAAAGAGAAGAAAAGAAGAAAATCCCCAAGACCTTCGAGCCCCGAAAAGAAGAGACCGAGGAAGTGGCTGGCACGCAAACCTAAAAATGCCAGTGCCCGAGAACTCCCATCGGACTCACTCTATCGGTTGAGGGATGAGTCTAAAGAAGAAGAAAATTTTGAATTGGTGGCCCACATGAGAGGCGAATCCGAACTGCCTCAATCCATGGAGGTCGTAGAAGAAGCAGCGGCCGAAGCCTCCGAACCAGGGAGGGTCGAGACCGTTTCGCCCCGAGCTGGGGAGGTTGACAAAGGGACTGTGGCCGGTACTTCTCGGTCAGAATATAATGTGACTAAAGAGGCGCTTGGGGTGATCGATATCTCTGGGTTGCCTTCGTTTACCGATTCTATGATAAACGAGGCCCAGATGCTGAAAGGTAACCTCGGCGAAGGGGCCCAAAGAGTAGCAGAATCTTTCCACAACTTCTTCGATGGCATGGATTCTACTACCTCAGAGGATGTTACCGGACTGGGAAATTACCAGTGCCAAATAAGACATCGTCCTCGGGAGCTAGTTGGTCTTCTTTAAGCCCAAAATTAGTGAATCTGTTCCTAGCGTTGATCCTACTCGAAGACGGGCAGTTTTTATGTCTATTTCGAAGGACGCCCGAATTCTCTCTGCCCCGATGGGGATTTCCAGTTACCTTTAGTGCTTGGTGACCGAAGAGGACCAAGCCAAAATGAATGAGGTGGAGGCACCCTGCCTGTTCAACGAAGTTCCACATGCACTGAATTGGGTAACTTCGAATGTCCCTTTATTATATGCTTAGATTTAATCATGAATAATCATAACATGTTCCTTTGTGTTTGTAGGCCTAGGTGCTTCATCACGAGGCCTTTCTCCAATACCGGAAGGAGTTCAAACATTACGAAGTTGAGGCTTGGGAGCTAGCTGAGAAGAAAGAAACTTACAAGCTTCTTAGTGAAAAATCCCAGGCTGAGCTAGAAGCGGCTCGGAAGGAGCATGCCGAGCTGGTTAATCAGGTAAGGATAGTTTTTGAAGTTAGTTATGCTGAGTCAGACTCAATATCTAACGATCCAAACCAGAAAGTTCAAAAGAAACTTGACCAGATCGAGCTGCTCCGAGGGGAGGTGGATACAGTCAAAGCCAAGGCCGAAGAATGAAAGAAAAACATGGATCACCTAGCCTCGGAGAAAGAGACTATCCGGGGACAGTTGGCTTCAGCTGAAGTTCAGCTTCGGGATATAAAGGAGAAGAACTTGGTGCAGGCCAAAATGATCGAGGGACTCTAATCTCAGCTAAACTCGGCTGTTTCTGGTGAAGAGAATCTGGCTAAGGAGCTTGAGGCTGCCAAGTTAGAGGTTGTCATGGCCAAGGCCGTGGCTAATGAAAAGGTGGTCCAGTTCAAGGTTGATGTCGAGGCTATCCAGGAACAGGCGAGAAACATGGTGAAGCATGCGAGGTGGGAAGCCCGAATGGAGGCCCTCGAGGGAGTCCATGCTCAGAAATTTAACATATTGACCGAGATCCAGAGTGCTAAGATATGCGAAGCCAAGGCTTGGAAGCTGGCTTATCCCGAGGAGGATTCTGAAGAGTCGGGTGAGTCTGATGGTGGTGAAAACCTGTAGGCGACGACGTATCCCCCGATGAGGATTAGGCCATTTTAGGATTTATTCACCTTTTGTACTACC